TGTGCTGTATACTGTGTTCATTCCAAGTCAATTCTCCATCCATCACCATCTATCCACCCTTTACCTTCTCCACCTCCCCCACGCTTCCTGCATGATTTTATTTATATGAAGTTATAAACAGGCATATTAATCCTATAGTAGAGTAAACATAGCTTCTAAGGCTATGGATATGTTTTTTGACTAGTAAGGGACATGAAGAATATTGTAAAATGACAGTATTCTAATTATTGATAAAAGGTATGTTACATAGGTGGATGAATGTCAAAATTCAGTAAATGTATTAAAATTGTGCATTTCATTGTCTTTAAATTTTATAAGAAAAAATAACTGTAAACTAAAAAAAAAAGTAGTAGAACATTTTAACTACCTACTAAAATAGCCTATGGAAATTTGCAAGAACAACAACAACAAAAATAGCATTAAACACTCAGGCAAGATTCACAGTAATTTCTTGGAATAGAGCCCTACTTACGTAGGAGATGTTATTAATATCTCTTTAAGATGTTTTTTCCTGTTAGAGATTTCCTACATAGAGTGGGATGTGGAGAAATTGGAATAGTCTATCAACACAAAAAGATTAAAGGGATAGAAAATGGAACGGGGGAGAGAAAAGATAAAAGGAACTTGGGTTATTTTGTGTAATTTCTAGAACAGAAGTCGGGAGATTTCTTTACAGTCATCTTCCTTCGCTATTTATAAGGAAAATGTGTTGAGTTCATTGTGACCCAGGAAACTATCGGTAACTTTGAGGTCTTCCATCCCAGCCTCCTTTTTTGCAAGTGAAAACATTGATGCCCAGGGATCAGATGCCACTTGTTGAAGATCCCACAGCTCCTTCACAGTTGAGGTTTGGAATAGGAGTCAGCATGCCTAACTCCAGATACTAAGCTAAAAATGCCAAGGCATATTATGCCTGCAGATGTGAGAACTCAGGGGATGTTGTAGAAAAGGTTCTAATACAGAAGTAGGAAATCTATTTGAAGAATATAATTTTCACAATGCCTCATTCATATACCTCTATTCTTAGTCCTCCATCTCTTCCTTACTGCCCTAGAAAAAAGAATTGGAAGTTACTACAAACTTGCCTCTGGTTCCGGGGCAAGCCCAGGATGGGGATAAGTGAGTTAATCATTTTCTACTTGCTACAGTTTTTGGTTCTGTTAGTTTAGCCCTCAGCCAACTGCTACCACAACTTCCCCTGGCGATACTGGCTGGTTTCAGTTGTAGTTCAGTTACAAGGAGCATCAACACTTTCCCTTAGAACCTTAAGCTCCTTTTGAACCTTGCAGAATATAAACATGAAGTTTAGGGCTTCTCTAGTCATTTTCAAACATGAGGGAAACTTTTCTGAGCATTTAACACAAAAAAACAGAAACAAGTTGAGTCAAGAAAATAGCCAACAAAATTAAAATTAAAACCTGGATCAAATTATGTCCAAATTCACTATGAATGTTGAAATTACATGCTCAACTAAATTTTCAGTCATTTTAAAACTATGCTTCATTGAGTTTTCTGGATATTTACAATCAAAAGCATCCAAATAATATTAGCCAGAGGAAATATTTCTTATGAAAAATATATGACTAAGAGTTATGCATCCCTAACAATTTAATTACTAAACCAGATAACTAATATTTACTGTAAAGTAGTCTGAACTTTGCATTACATTATCATGTTTTGCATACATAATCCTGGCAAAAGCCCTGTGAGGTAAGCAACACTGTGAACTTGTTTTTCAAATCAGGGAGTTATAGGTGAAAGTAAAATGCTTCCAATGGATGGTACTTAATTTCATGCAGCCACAGTGTGGCAGGGTTGGAATTTAGCCCAAATCTGTCTCATTTTAGGGCTGTTGAGTGGAAGGTGTATTATTGAATGAAAGGTGTATCTGTTACAAAGCAGTCTTTATTGACTTAGAGATAGATAATTGAAGTTCCACTTCAGTCTTGGAGACTTCAGGTTTCTGGGGCTTATTGTGAGCATGAAAAGATAGAATGAAAGTAAACCCTCAGTGTTGTACACGGCCCATATAAAGTGCGATAGGTTAAATTTTATAAGTATTCATTAATTGTAGTAAATACTACTTTTAATGTTCTTGTTCTTAGCACTGGCCATAAATAATTTCTATCCATCCTGGATATAAAAGCAGTAAGTTGAAGTGTAGACCAGGCACATTTCAACTGAACTGGATCAAAGAGGCTGGAGCTACTTCTAGTAGAGTAGTGTCCCAGATGCATTTTTGTCAGTTATGAGTTCTACCAGTTCCTGTCCAGGACAGTTGTGAAGCTGTACAGAGATTTTCAGTTACTCTAAACTGATCGATTATAACCAAAACCTGAAAGCAGTTACAGATTGTCCTGGAAGAAAGGACTGAATAAAGGGAACTAAAATTTTTAGCATATTTGTTATGATACAAGATCTTATGACACATGCTTGGATTGTCACAACTCACCAGAATTCTGCAAGCTGTGTATTTATGAATATGCCTCTATGTATATAAATGTGTATACTTCATGCAAAAATAGACCTAAGTGAATGCTCAAAGACTAATCAACTTTTCTAGCCACCATCCCACCCCCTCAATCCTGCAGAGACCTAGTAGGACACAGAGGAAAGTCTCCATGCAAAGAATAGAGGGCACACCTCCCTACAAAAATTTAGTTGTTCATAGTTGGTTTGACTTGATGCTCTTAAAAGCCTCAAATCATTTTTAAAGATGATGACTTGTATAAATTATTTTTTAATGGAGGAAAGTGGGTAGGGTAACGAATGCATCCTACTTTTTATACTAATTTTCTACCTTCAAGTAAATTTTAATTTCAGTTCTTGAGGCCTTAGGTGTAAATGAATATTTATTTCTGTTTTTTTTCTTATATAAAAAATGAGCATATTAGCATGATTAAAGTTGATGACAATTTCATTTCCATAATTATAATGTATAGCTTATAAAAATGTATTCAAAATAATGTTCCTTGTGTGTGGTATATGCACTTTTCCCCAGGAGGGAAGTAGAAGGGGAAAAAAATGGAGATGTGTTGGAAAGTGAGAGACTTTCATTTCCCATTATGTTTGTATCAGGAATTGGGCTTCAGTGTGTATCTTATGTGAACATGATTATGTCCCGTGATCCTCAGTGACCCACTCTGCTGTATTCAGATGATCATTTCTCCTTGATAGGGTGATTGTGAGGACCAGAAAAGATAGTGATAGAAAGGAGAAATAACCCTAACCCTAACCAAAATTCAAATAATATTTAGTGTGATATTTAAAATTCTTAAAAAAATTATGCAGTGGCTGAGAGGTCAGACACGGAGGCCCGACAGACTTAGGTTTTAATCTTGGCTCGGGCTCCATTGGCTCTGTGTCTGAGCACATGTTGCACCTACTCCATAACTTCTGTTTCTCAGTCTGAAAAATGGGATACGGATACATCCTATCAGCAAGCCGATGTCTTAAAATGCTGAGCACATCACCAGGCCCATCATAAGGTTCCAATAAATACTGTCCATTATCAACCAGGGACATTGTAGTTGCTGTTGTTTGTGAATAAGGCAATTGAAGACAGAGAGCTTTGAACCTGTCTCCTTTTATATCCTTTCAGTCTTAATTTTCTGGGACACAGAATCTCCATATCTTTTTTTTTTAATGCTTTTATTGATTTTAGAAGGAGAGGAAGGCAGTATGAGAGAGAAAGAGAGAGAGAAACATCAATGTGAGAGTGAGACATTGATTGATTGCCTTCACCTGACGGGGGGAATCAAACCCATGGTATGTGCCATGACCAAAATTGAGCCTACAATTTTTCAGTGTATAGGATGATGCTTCAGCCAACTGAGCCACATCTCCCAGAGTATGGATCTCTGCAAAAGAGTTAGCTGGCTGGGTTAGATCTTGCTCTACTATTGTTTCAGTATTTGCAAAGACTGAATCCAAAATTGTAGGGAAAAAATAAGTTTAGTGAGTCTCACCTTCAATGTGAAATGTAACCCATTAAAACAAGCATCTCAATGAAATGTTTCATACAGGTAATCTGGTTTTACCATAGGCTTTGCCAACATGCGCCAGATAGCTCTTCAGAAACATAAATGTGAATAAAGCTTTTGAGTCCTTCTAGGAAATGTGTAGCTTTATATCATCAGCTTCTAGGATTCTAATTTATCTCTCCAATCCTCTTTCAATCTCACAAATAAGGAGAGAAATTCAAAACTCAGCATCCAGTCCCACAGAGACCACCCAAGTGTACACCTCTGTGATTCATATCCCTGAATCTTTTCCTTGTTGATTGAAAACCCAAGTCTCCTGACTTCCCAGACTGCATAGATTAACGGATATGACCATGAACTATGGTGTCATGGAGATGTGGGCTTGAGTTTCTCCATTCCTGTGTATTGCCTATATGGTCTAGAATCAGTTATTTAACCTGACTTTGTCTATAAGTCTAGGATAATAGTTCCAGTATCACAGGCTTTTGCAAAGATTAAATTCAATCATGAGTGTGAAGTCCTTCTCATGCAATAAGTCATCCATAAATGACTTTTATCCTTTCGAAGTCTTGGTGATGCTAAGTTCAAATGCAGTTTTGTGAGTGAACAAACTTTATTCTGCATTTTCAATCATGACATTCTAAATGTCATGAAAAGAAAATCTTCTAAAATATGTCTTCTGGCAGCTTTATTATTATTATTTAACCCAAGTGTGGGTCAACTTTGAGACATATGGTAAATCATTTGAATGGAATTAATTCAATCCTGATATTGATTAATCATTGTTCAAGTTTATCATTGCTCACAAATGTGATCCTTTACAGAAGTGTGGTCATTTATCTTAGAAATCTGACAGACATTCCCTTGAGACAAATTCATTCCATTTATGCCAGCCGATGGGAAGAGTTATGCACTGGATGTAATTTTTCTTAATAAAAAATTAAAATGCAGCTTACCAGCCTTAGTTCAGTGGATAGAGCCTTGGTGCATGGACTGAAGGGTTTAATTCTAGTCGAGGGCATGTACCTTGGATGCAGGTTCCCTGCCTTGGTTGGGGTGCATCAGGCAACCAGTTGATGTGTCTTTCTCACATCGATGTTTCTCTCTGTCTCTCCCTCTCCTTTCTACTCTCACTAAAAATCAATGCAAAAATATCCTCTGGTGAGGATTAACAACAACAAACAAAATATGCAACTCATTAAAACTACCAGGCAAACATGATTTTATAAATGAAGGGTTTTTAATTCTCCTAATTTCCTAAAGGTGATACTGTAATATAGGCTTTGTTCTGAAAATCATTTTTTTCTTTCCTGTTGTTTAATTTTTCCAATCAAAATGATCACCGCTGAGCATAGTAGCAAATAGAAGGGCTGATGGCTGTGGATATGGCATAAAATTCTCAGTTCACTTATTTCTGTAAAATAAGCATATCATCCAACACACATACTCTATGTGTGGGAGTCATTCTGTTGGCACAACTCTCTTGTACATTCAGTTTTAGTATAAACTCAGTATACTTTATACTTTAAATAGCACGTTAAGTAGCACCTTTAATAATTTCAAAGATTTTCTTATATACACTTATCCTTTTTTATCCTCTCCCAAAATTTCTACAAGAAATATACACTGAGTGGTAAGATTATTATGATCTCTGAATGCATAATAATCTGGACACTCAGTGTACTTCTCTTAAGTATCTCATTTATTGGATATCAAAAATACTATAAATAGTGCACATGATTAGTTTCCCCCTTTGCACTGGCTGATAGAAAGCTCAGGGCAAATAGGTGGTTGATCTCCAGGAAAAGTCTAGAATACTTTTGGAACCCATTTGAGATACAAATACACCGACTGGCCTGATTATTATCAATATGCATTCAGAGATCATAATAATCTGGTCACTCAATGTGTTGTCCCCATTTAAACAAAGGGAGAGATCGTAATTGATACAAAATCAACATGGGTAATGAAAGGTAGAGTAAAATCTATAGCGTGGGCTTTATTTTGTGTATTATGGTTAAGTGCTACTTCTTCTTAAACACCCATTACAAATAACTCCTTCTGATGCCCATTCCTTTACCTTTGTGTATTTTTTAGAGGTAACAGTAGACTCAATGTAAAATTATTTCAACACAAAAGAAAAAAAATATAATCATATCTCCTATCAAGCAGTCCCATCATAAATACACGATAACAACAGGTAATATAAGGTTCCATGCCATCAAATATCTGTCTTTCCATCCCGTCTGTGATGCTATAGAAATGACTTTGTTCCTTAGGCTAATTCCCCTCATGGTCAAGAGAAACAAAGATGCTGCTGAGATGTAAGAAAAGAACCTGCTTTAGCAGAAGGAATAGCAGATCGTGAAAGCAAATGACTTCAAGAGATGATTCTAAACAACATCAATACAGCCCACTGAAGAATTTAAATCTACTCATTTTTAAGAGGATTTAATTAGGTGAAATTCTTTTGACGGTCAGATTTTAAAATGACATAACCTGTTTTCTGAAACCAATAAGATGCCAAGAAAGAACATTTTTATTTATTTATTTATTTTATTCACATCCTCAAAACAGATGCAATAAGTGCTTGCGACCATCTGAAGGTATTTGACAAACTGTCTCATCTGCTTTGCTGGCACTCTACCCAAGCAACGTGGGTGGTTCCGAGTTCTGAGTCATCTTTCTCTAACACTTGCATAAGTTGGCATGAGATGGAACTTACAGATTGCAGGAGGACATGTGTTTTTTTCCTCCTGTAAATCAAGGTGGAGGGGGAGGACATAAAACAGTGTTCCTAGAGTATAAATATTGGAATTGCAACTAGAATCGGTTATTAATATCTCTATAAAAACTAAGAGCCAGTTAGGGCATGAGTAAATCTGACACGAGAGTCTAGTGGTTATGCACAAATCCCCTTTCTGGCATGAGGCTCTCATTCTTTCATCTACATGGAGTGTTGTCAGCTGATTGTGAGCTAAATTGCTTTCTGGGAATTTGTCCTCACCAAAGAGATTTCCTTCCATGATCATGGTCCCTTCCAGAGACACACTGTATCTACCAATTGGTTCTTAGGGGGGAAGAAAATGCCTGGTTTCTTTGCTTCTTGGCATGGCCATTCTGAAAGTTCATCCCAACCTCAGAGCTCCCAATGGAATCAGTTAACACCTTGCTGTGAATGCATTGCCAGTAAATTGCTCCAGCCCTTTGTCTGATCATACACTGTCCCATAAACTTCCTACATGCAAATTTTCTTCTTAGCATCTCTCACCTTCACTGGAATGGATGTTTCACAAGAGATGAAGAAATAAGGATAAGTCACCAAATCTCTATTATACTTGTGATTCCCTCCGCATTATTGCATTGCTTTTGGGAATAATTGTGTCCATTAACTCTTATTTCAGGTCTAGACTCAAGCAATGCAATTTTAATTATAGAAACTCGGTTTATACTTGCTATCTTTCCTTAAATTAAAAAAAGAAACAGCTTATTCTATAGATATACTTGAGTTCTTTTGTCACCCTGGCTTTACACTTAACTTCCAAATAAAAAAATCCATTGTATACCACACATTTAGGGAAGAGATAAGTACCATTGAATCATTAAACTAGAATTATGAAAGGGTGAAACACTGAGGTCTATGTGTGTGTGTGGTGGTGGTGGTGGTGGGGTAGCGTGGGGAGACAGGGTGGATTGTGGCTTGGAAAAATATATTCTACCTAATTATATCACATGTGCCTTAACATCGATGAACATTCGTGCATTTGACAATTACAAATAATGTAGGGAATAGCCATTCTGAATTGCAGTCAGCCTGGGGAGAATTGGAAAGATTCTTCTGTTTTTGTTTTTCCCCCCTTTTCCCATTAAAAAAATAATAATAAATAAATCCTGGGTCACTGAAGACAAAGCACTCGGGCCTGATTCGGTTTCCAGGTAGTTAAGCAATACCAGAAATGCCATGGCGCTGAACTTCAGCAAAAGTGAGACCGTGCCCTGAACACTGAGTGAGCTAATGGTCTGTGTTCCCATGCTCCCTAGCAGATCACCCTCCCTTCCACCCCAGTGCTCAGTGAAGCAGCGTCTCTTCCAGGTGAGCACTCGGCAGGGGCAGGCGAGAGAGCGGCCTCATCTATTCAGGTGACACAGTTAATCGCCTTGGACAATATTCGTTTGTGGCTGACGTGAGGCATTTCCAGACCAGAAGTGATGCTTGGCTGTTACAGTGCTATTAACACCCAGGTCCACCGACACAGAGATTTCCACCAAGGGTGCCGAAGCCCATTTCAAAATAAATCATTGGACGCCCAGATTGGATCACTCCTGACCAAACATTAGCACAGACTTCTCAGCATAGATAAATACAGATAGTGTTCTGCAAAGCTTCATTCAAGTGCCATGAAGTAGAAAAGGTATTAAAGACTAAGAATAACGATTGGGTTTATATAACACAAAAAGACCTAGACAGACATTTTAAAATGTACTTGATTTTGCCTTCTTGAGAGGAGGACATTTAAATAACTCCTGCCCAGCCGGTGTTGCTCAGTGGTTGAGCATTGACTTGTGAACCAGCAGATCACATTTTGATTCCCAGTTGGGGCACATACCCGTGCTGTGAGCTCCATCCCCAATAGGGGGTATGCAGGAGGCAGCTAATCAATGATTCTGTCTCATCATTGATGTTTCTATCACTTTCACCCTCTCCATTCTTCGAAATCAATAAAAAATATTAAAAAAAATAAAATCTTAGCATAGTTTTCATCCAAATGAGATCTTTTCTTTTAATCTATTCAAATCTCATGTAAGTGTGATAGTTCATTTCAATTCAGTGCAAGGTTACAGTTCTCTAATTTGAATGAGATAAAATTTAGTAAATTAGCAGAACACTTGGAAAGTGGTAATTCTTTGAAAGAACCAAATGCGTGTTGCGTTTCACCATTTAAGAATGTAAAGTATCTTGCGAGCAGGAAAATTGGACATCAGGAAAAAAGTTCTGTGATGCTGGTAGCGAAATGGGTGGTTTAGGTGATGAGCTAGGGTCTGCCTTGGTTTTCTAATGTATGGAGTAAATTCTAGACCATCAACACCATTCATAGAGATGGTAAGGGTATGTGATCATAGATGTGAAATTATGTATTGACTACTTAGTGTTCCATGTCATCATTTCTTAGGCCCTATTGGGAAGATGTAGATGGTGTTAGGTAATAAAGGGAAACATGTTGGCAACTTATCATTATTGCTTCCCAGGTCTACATCCCCCTTCTTTGTCCTGGGTTGTTAGCTCAGAACCTGTAAGTACTCCCCCTCTGCCAGGTGGTGCCATGTTGGCCTCCGTCCATAGAGACTGAGAATGGGGAGGCAGAGCGGAGACAGGCTTTTCTTCTTGATTTCTGTGCATGTGTCTCTTCGTCTTGTGTCTTCTGCTGGTGCTCAGGACACCCAGTAGCACTGACATGGCAGCTTGTTTCTTAGAATGAGCTCCCATCCATGATACCTCATCTGGTGGCTTCCTATGGATAACTCAGCCCCAACCCTTCCTAACTTCCTAGGGCTGTATGTAAGGCAGTTGTTCTCAACCTTTCTAACACCATGACCCTTTAATAGAGTTCTTCATGTTGTGGTGACCCCCAACCATAAAACTATTTTTGTTGCTACTTCATAACTGTAATTTTGCTACTGTTATGAATCGTAATGTAAATATCTGTGTTTTCCCATGGTCTTAGGCGACCCTGCTAGCGGTTCTCAACCTGTGGGTCGAGAACAAGGTGATTAGAATCTCAGCCTTGGAAGCTGGAGCTCTGCCACTCAGTTCTCTCCTTGGTTTTTCTCTCTCAGCCCTGCATGTAGTGGCTTCACCCTACAGTTTCTGTCTTTGGTGGTTAGGATTCTTTTTCTTAAAATTTCTATTTGTTGTTAACGACTTTTACTAGAAAGTGTTTCTTTCCATTAAATATTTTCTGTTCCTGTTACCAGAGTGCTTTCTGTCTTCTGACTTGACCTTGACTAATATACAATGTATTTAACATCTTTATGATAATTTATGTTTACTATATATTCATGATCAGGCAAAATTTCATTATCTTATGACAGAAATTCAAAGTTGCCACCCTACAACAACTTGCTTTTC